CACTACACGCCACTGCCCGCTGGACACTCCCCGCTGAAACGGCCCCTCGCAGAGTACCTCCGCTATGGCGTCCTCAACCTCGACAAGCCCTCCAACCCTTCGTCCCATGAGGTCGTCGCCTGGATCAAGCGCATCTTCCGCGCGGAGAAGACCGGCCATAGCGGCACCCTCGACCCCAAGGTCACCGGCAACCTCATCGTCTGCATTGACCGCGCCACCCGCCTTGTCAAGTCCCAGCAGGGCGCCGGCAAGGAGTACGTTTGCGTCGCTCGCCTCCACTCTGCTGTACCTGACGTCGCCAAGGTCGCCCGCGCCCTCGAGACACTCACTGGCGCAGTCTTTCAACGGCCCCCGCTCATCTCCGCTGTCAAGCGCGAGCTCCGCATCCGGACCATCTACGAGAGCAAGCTACTGGAGTACGACCCCGACCGGCACCTGGTCGTCTTCTGGATCTCCTGTCAGGCCGGGACCTATGTACGTACTCTTTGCGTCCACCTCGGGCTGATCCTTGGGGTCGGAGGGCACATGCAGGAGCTGCGGCGGGTGCGCTCGGGGATCCTCGGCGAGAAGGAAAATATGGTGACCATGCATGATGTGTTGGACGCCCAGTGGACGTATGACAATTTCCAGGACGAGAGCTACTTGAGGCGAGTGGTCATGCCATTGGAGGTGCTGCTGACCAGCTACAAGAGGCTGGTTATCAAGGACTCTGCAGTGAATGCTATTTGCTATGGAGCCAAGCTGATGATTCCTGGACTTCTGAGATTCGAGAATGATATTGAGGTTGGGGAGGAAGTGGTGCTGATGACCACCAAAGGTGAGGCGATTGCTCTGGGGATTGCTGAAATGACAACCGCGGTTATGGCAACTTGTGATCATGGATCGGTAGCAAAGATAAAGAGAGTGGTGATGGATCGGGATACCTACCCCAGGAAGTGGGGTCTGGGGCCGAGAGCACTGATGAAGAAGAAGATGATCACGGAAGGCCTGCTGGATAAGCATGGGAAGCCGAATGAAAAGACACCATCTGAGTGGCTCAGGAATGTGGTGCTTCCAACAGGAGGGGATTCAATGGTTGCCAGCCTTGCTGCAGCACCAGAGCCTGCGGTGGTGCAGAAGGAAGACATAGTGATTGAAGAAGTGAAAGAGGATAAGAAGAAGAAGAAGAAGAAACACAAAGACAGGGATGATAAAGATGATGATGGTGAAGGGCGGAAGCATAAGTTGGAGGATGCTAGAGAACTGCCTGCTTCTAAGAAGGTAAAAGTAGAGGAAATTCAAGAAGCTGTACTGGAAACTGAACCAAAGAAGCTGAAGAAGGTGAAGGACGAGGTTGTGGAAGCACTGGAGGAGGAGAAAAGCGAGAAGAAGAAAAAGAAGAAGAAGAAGGATAAAGAGAGAGAAGAAGAAGAATTAGCTGATGAGGAGAACATTGCAAATGAAAGAAAGAAGGAAAAGAAACATAAAAGTAAAGCAGGTTCTTCTGATGAAGAGAAGTTAACAGAGGACAAAGAGAAACAGAAGAAGAAGAAGAAGAATAAGAAGAAGAAGAATGAAGAGGACAAGCTTGGTGAAGAAACTGGCAGCTTAACTGGCAACAATGAAGAGGAAGAGAAAAGTGAGAAGTTGAAAAAGAAAAAGAACCGAAATGCAGAAGAAACAGCTGCATGAGCAAGCAGAGGATATCATTTTGGCGATGCACTGTAGAGCAGTTCAGTTGAACTGCCTATGGTAATTGAATTGCATTGTATTCTCGAAGATCTGTTTGTCATTTCTGCAAATCAGAGTAATGTATGATGCAAGGCACATGTTATGGGCCATAGATTTTGATTTCTCTTTAAATGCTTTCTTTTTATAAATTTCAACATCATGTGCTAGTGAAATGAGTTATATTTATCATGTTGAGATGTCAAAATGCTTTTTACTTTTCAATTAACTGGAAACAACTCTTATTCTACTTCTCAAGCATGATGATTAAATTCGTTAGGTATTGTTAATTGTGATTGTAGTGTTTGTTTCCAATCACCTACTCTTATTGTTCGAGAAATAAATCATTAGAACATATCCTTGGATTGTGAACATAATGTTCTTATTTCTGTTAGAGTGAAGGTTCTCATTTTCGACTCCTGCATTATACTAAATTAGTTTTTTTTGTAATCGTAATCCCCCATATCTAGCAAAAATTGTTTTCTCTGGTCCAGATTGAATAATTTCATTGGTTGAATGTTTGTAGTGAAGTACCAATATATTTTCTGCTAGGATGTTTATGAATTGTTGTGTGAAACTTTGTGCACATTACCATGAGTTATATAGTATTTAGAATTACTTCGAGCTGGTAGAATTTAATATAATTTTAATTGGGTTGATATTACTTATTAATCTGTTTGATGGCAAAAAAGGAAAACGTCATGTTGATTTCATTCATATAATGTAACATGTATTTCAATTTGATTCATTTGATATTATTGCAACGGTCTGTATTCTAGCAGTATCAAAGTTGAATAGTGGGTGTAGATTGGATGCTCATTTGTATTTTTGGAGAGCAAATATTGAGTAATATATGCATAATCTTTTGCTACTACCTAATGGCAAAGTTCCCTCTTGTGCTTCGACTGTCTAGAGATGGACTTGTGAACAAAGTTAATTAATTGTTTTATCCTTTGCCACAGGACAGTGTTCATTATATTTGTAGTGTATTGTAACCTTACTTTTCTTCCCTGTTTCTTTCTCATAGACAACAATAGTATCCAACCATAGATCCTTTTTGCTAGCTGGTGAAAATAACCAAAATCAGTACTGTTGTGATTAGTCTATCCTCTGTTATCATGTCATTTTAGTTGATCCAATATCAAAAAGTATCATCAGCTTAAGATAATGTACGAAAGAAGCATTTCTTATTTGCACCTCTGCATTTTTGCTCATTGTCACTTGGTTTTCTACTTCACAGACATGCTTGTTTATTTCATGATGAACTTCTATTGCTACTAGTTGGATGTCTGGACTGTGGATGTAAATTTATGATGTCTCTTTTGTTGTGAAGGATGATGATTGCAAACATGAACATCGATCCGGCATGGGAGTCATTGATGATATGGTGTTTGGGCCTTGACGAGGAAGATGTGCAACGTTTTAGTGCATGATCTGGAATTAAGAATTTGTAGTGTAGGAGGTGGTCTTTGATCCATCCGTGCACTATAGAAATTGAAGTTTTACTACTACATTGATTGATATTTTCCGACAATTGGGTAGAGGTTCTGACTTAATTGGTTGTCTTCAGTATTTTCTTTATTTGGTTGAGAAAATTATCATAGGCGATATTCTTATAAAAAAATTTATTTTTAAATTTTTTTCAAAAAAAAAGTCTTTTTTTGTTTTTTTGTGAATTTGAAAATAGAAATATCATATGAATGTAGATCGACTTGGACAAGGTCAAGGTGGTCTAAGAGTGGTCAAAAGCAAGGATAATCAAAAAAACAAAATCACATAAGCTTATTCCCAACTTCTCCATTCTTGAAGAAAAAAAATAGATAACTCACCTATGCTAGCTTTGTTGAATTTGTAACGATCTTAGAATAACTATCCCATATGACAAATAATTATTCACATTATACCAAGTAATTAAACATTGGCGTATATATCTCTTAGGGAAGGAGACGATCATCTACATCAACCATTGATCACTTAAGTGATTATATCTATAGCAAAACTAATATGTTATTGCGACCATCCTCGATCACGAGTCTTTGCTTATTTGTGCATATGCAGGTGATACGTAGTTTTTACGAGGACTATGCGAACATATACATAAAAGATCCGTAATCCAAAAACATCATGGAGAAAGCCAAAGCAAGAACTAAATTTTAGGAGGACTACTTTACAAAGATACTTAGCTTTAAGTACCAAAGAAAGCTGAATTAGATAGGAGAAGCATACTTATCGAAAGTTGTAGGACACTTTAACATAAACAAGACTTTGATAAACTTGCAATGACATTTATTGGCTCTGGATGTAGTAAGATATTGCTTGGTTTGTATGAGGGTGTATACTTTATAGCACTACAAAGTCGATCAATCAAAAAATAAAATTATACGCTCCATTATCCGTTCCATCGTAACCATGAGGGGCACAACATTCTTTACTATGGTAGTTAGGTTCAAAAAGATAATAATACTCATGCCTCGTAAGAAGATAACTACTAGAGGAGTAGTCTGATTATTCTTCCAACACATGCATACACTTTGATCTTTCGAATTCAATCGTGGCCAACTATGATAAACATTTCTTGAGCAACTTTTAGAGTTTACTTTGCCGATCGTATATTTATTTGCTTTCAATTGGGAAATGATTGGGTTATTTACCTCATAATCCTTTTGATCTACTATTTATGATCAATTTAGAATCAGCTATCTCTAACAAAACCAATGCAATACAATAAGAATAGTAATTTTTGAAAAATATCCACATGTGCATGAAGAAATTGAGAAGTAATTTTATTAATTTATTTATCTTCTGTGGGCAAAATAATTACAAATTAGTTTTATGTTACAAATTATAGTCATGCCAAATAATATAATAGCAGCATCTAACAAAACATTTTGTGATTCGTTTTCCATGATGAGTAGTCTAATATTATGATGGGATGCGTAGAAATGACAGTGACGTGTTTAGATCATGTTCGTGTCTTAAATCAACGTCCTACTCCGTTATCACTTATCCAGCGGTCGGTCCATTAATCGGATGAGAGGCATCTTCGTAATTAGACGCCGAAGCCATGGCCATTTGCTTGAATTCATACATGCGTCTACCACGTGACACCCGATCTCGATCGCTCCGTTACTGGCCCACCTCGGCGTGTCTCAATCAAGATTCGCACACACTCTCGATGGACGGTTGCGATGCTTCACGGAATGCCCTCTACAGGCTGACGTCCCAAGTCGGGTAACAGATACAAAAAACGACCCTTCCCCGCCACTGGTCCGGACGACAACCCACGGTAGAGGTTTGGGGAGGCAGAGGTGGGGGGTTGGAGGGTCACGCATCAAGATTCGTGCTCGATGGCCTCGGCCATGGAGGAGGAACGGGAGGGTGGGAAGAGCGAGAAGGTCTTGAAGTTATTTGGAGTCAGTATTGTTCGAGGAGAGGTGGGAGGCAAGGAGGAGGCCGACGCGGAGGAGGAGGAGGTGATGAGGAAGAGCTCCAGCATGGGCAACCTGGCCTCATGCGCCGCCGTGCCTTTGGTCATCGATCATGGCGCCGGCGACCAGGGGTACCACTCCGACGGTGCCATCCTCCAGTCCGCCACCGGGAGGAGGAGGAGATGCCAGGAGCGAAAGAGAGGTTCGTCAAGATGGTCTCTCTTGATCTTCTCTCCTCATGTTGCTCCGCCATTATATTTGAAACATAGGGCAAGAATATTAGATCTTACAAAATCGATCGGTTTAGCGAATTAGTGGTCAATTTCATGACAATGAACTGGTAAAGAACGATGATTGATGGTTCATTTCTGAGATGATCCAAGATATTACCAATGTGTTTTGTGCTTTACCCATTGTTTTCTTCTCTTTTTTTGTCAGTTTATAGATGTGAGTCAATCGCATAGAAGTCACAAGCTACTCCAAAAAGGAAAAACTAACACATGGAATGCCTAACTCCTTTCTTTCTATGACTACACTCCGTTCCTTATAAAATCTCCACAAGTTTCATTGTCAGACCCTTTCTTTCATGTTAACCCTTTGTCTCCTGGTCTAGATTCATGTTTCATACGATCTCAATACAGGCATTATTTTGTGATGAATCAGAGCCTATGTTAGACATTGAGGTTATCTAATTCTTTTCAGCAATCTAAGAATGGCCTATATTATTTGCTTTCACAGGGGTACCCTGGACAGAGGAGGAGCACAGAACCTTCCTGACTGGGCTTGAAAAGCTTGGGAAGGGAGACTGGAGAGGGATTTCGAGGACATTCGTGACGACGAGAACTCCAACCCAAGTGGCCAGTCATGCTCAAAAGTATTTCCTCAGGAAGAACAATCCCAGAAAAAAGAAGCACCGATCCAGCCTCTTCGATGTTACGATCAACGATGAAGTAAATCCAAATTTTCCTGTTTTAGTTAGATGCGTTTGAGAATGTGGGATTCAGCTTCAGCCAACCCACGCTTTAGCAATACACTGCAGCTTTTCCTGATCTCCATCTTGGTTGAATGCCAAATTTGCAGGCTACTGCCACTGAAGCAGCATCGGTATTATCTTCAAAGAAAAGCAATGAAATCCAAGAACATATTACTCATCTCAATGACGGCAATAATTCAGTAATGTTTTCACATTTTCTGTACTCAGTTTCCATACTTTTGTGTTGAAACAAACACAATTACACTTTCACTCTTTATCATGGTATAAACTTTTACGATCTAACCATAAATTCTCTATTGGAATAAATGAACTAATTAACATGAGTTTTTGGATTTTCCCTTATTTTCCAGGTTAATTACCCAGCTGTTACAACTATTGGGCAATCTGTAGTTGGGGGAGCTTCAAACTTCCACCATATAGCAAACCATGGTGGCATTAACAATCTTCCTAGTCCCAGACATATTGTAAGCAAACATACTGCCATTATTCACATTCTCTTTGTGCTCGATTGATCTCCTTGGCCATCAATGGGATTATTGGTCTGACTCCAGCCAATGATTGATGTCTAAATAGGTGGAAGTCTCTGACAATAGTGTGAAAGATCGGGCAATTCCAGAAGTTTTTATTGTGCCACCACTCTATACAACAAGTCAGATGCCACAGGTAGAGCTCGCGTGTACTCCAGATCTCAAATTATCTTTGTCATACCCAAACTGCCAAACCCAATCTTCTGCCACCACACCAGCTGAAATAAGTGATTTGGAGCTCAAAATTGCACCTCCTCGACGACATGATCTTTCTTATCTTCTCATGGTTCAGCAGGTGCAATAAGAGTAATCTATTAAGTTGCGTCATATCATGTATGTTTGTATCCTCCTAATAAGTTGTTTCATACGATTTGTGTTTGTATTTTGGCGATATACTTAAAGATAAATGGACAATTTGGGAACATGGAAGTGGAATCTGTTGTTTCTACCAGTGAAACATCACTACATAAGTAAATGTAGTCACACTTTAAATGCCTGCTGTGGATGCTGTGCATGCTGGCCAAAGCTGTGCAGAACAAGTCCAGCATCAAGCACAAAGGCTTCCTGTCCATAGTCTTCCATTGCTTGTCGTCGTATCGGGATGCGTCTTCGCTCATCTTGTGAAAGCAGAGGATCATGGAATCCGAATAGTTAAGTCTTCTTCTGCAACCATCTCTTTCTCTAGTCTTACCTTACCAAAAAGAAATCAGTCATGGATCATCGAGAAGAACAAATCTCTATAGAAGATCACTTATCACCTTCAAACTTTAGCAGCATTGTTCACTTTTAGCTTTTGATTAAACCTAATGCATTTTTTGTTTTTTGAGCTAAAGAATTATATCATGGTGCTGCAGGTCCTTTTTCAAAATCAGCAGTTAATTGTCATGGTGGGTGCAAGACATCAATGTCCAATGTGGTTATGTCAATCTGCATGATGTTGGTCTTGCTCTTCTTGGCACCTCTCTTCAACTTCACTCCCCTGCTGGCTCTATCTGCCATCATTGCTGTTGCCATGATTGGGCTTATCGAGTATGAAGAAGCTTATCGCCTCTTCGAGGTGGACAAATTTGGACTTCTTAATCTGCATGTCTGCATTCTTTTTCTACATTTATGGTGATATATTTTGACTGTTAATGTTCTCCTATCGACTATTTGTAGGAGTTTGATAGTATTTATTGTCTTCTCCAAAGATTAATAATATTATAAAAATATTTAATATTTTTTTTATCATTTTGTTCAACTATTTACTATTACTTTGACGTGTCAACGACTGTTTCATTGTACTATTTCGATGGAAGCAATTAGGAGAAGCACACGAAGCTCTTTCCAAAAGTTGTACAACACTTGTTACCAAAAGTCGTATAATACTGCTTTTATATGACGGAGAATGGTATCACCGCATAAAAATAGGAAAGAAGCATAAATTTGAATCGCACCTAGTTTTTTACATGCCATTGTCAAAATAAATGCTCAGGAAGAGCAGCAGCTGCTCTTCTGGTTGAGAGGTTGTCCCCGAATTTGCACTGTTGGCGGCTTCGCACCGTTCATGGCCGGTTGACTGGCCATCCTGCACGAGGATACAACTAGTTACAAAGGGCGACATGCTCGAATTCCAAGCTGGCCTGCATACAGATAGAGAGGTGAGATACCTGTTCTTGATGGCAGCAGTCATGGCCATGAAGGCCTGCTCCACATTGGTGGCATTTTTGGCACTAGCTTCCATGAAAGGAATTCCAATTTCATCCGCAAAGGCCTGTCGTGACAAGGAAAAGAAATAATGAATCATTGCAGTCACAAGTTTCTAGCAATCTGCATTTGATTAAAACATCACAAGCCCAACGACCATATGCATCTTCATTGTCATGCTAATAGGGATACCTTAGCAGTCTCGTACGACACAACTTTGTTTGCAGTAAGATCGCACTTGTTCCCAACCAGAAGCTTGTTCACGTTGTCACTGGCATAGCGATCGATCTCATTCAACCACTGCTTTACATTGTTGAAGCTCTCCTGATCCGTCACATCATACACTACCTGCAACTCAAGGGATTCGATTAGACAATCCATCAAGTTTCCTCTGGAATAACATCAAATTTATTTAAGTTGATTGTTGGAACATACAATGATACCATGGGCACCACGGTAATAGCTGCTTGTAATTGTTCTGAATCTCTCTTGGCCAGCAGTATCCCACTTGCAATGACAAGATAATGACCCGTATCAGAACAAATTGAAAATTGCTACTTCTCAATACAAAATTACAACCAATAATTATGGAATTTAGAGAGGAGAACTACTTTGGTGGTTATTATCAGAACTCGAATCATGGTAAAAAAAAGCCCAACGCTACAGGTTTTTAGTTGGCTATCTGATGATAATATAACACATAAGAATCAGCCTATTTTGTTATCACAAACAACTTACTAACTGATAGACTATCCAAGTTTCATTGAAGATATGCCATGTTACACCTTTGGTATCAAATGGCAAAACACAAACAATCTCATAATCATGACCACATGCAATAAAAGCCATGGTAAAGAAACTCACGATTTGAAGTTTAACAGTCTTTCCATCCTGTTCAACAGTGCGTATTTTCTGAAAGGAAATAAAATCATAGTTCAGAAGCTTCAGTGAAAAGCTTTATAGGTTTTGTATACATACATACACACATATATATCACTTACAAAATCAACTCCGATGGTGCTGATGTAACTTTCCAAGTAAGAATCATCCTACAAAGAAAAGGGAAAACAAAGTTACACTATCAAGTTCTGCAAGAATGAAAGAGCCTTTTGAAGACAGGATCAATTGCTTTTGCACACATTAAGCCTCAGCATAAAAATGTAACCACCTACTTCCACATTACATGGTTATGATAGTTTTGGACATGCAACTGCAAATATTACATAGATGCTGTGTTTGATGCCAAAGATACATTCAATACTCAAATATTGTTCGACAACTATTCAACAAAGTATCCTAACAAGCAGTAATATTAGGAATAACGGCCACAAACTGCACGTCAGTTTCTGAGAAATGACAAACTATCCTCATATATCAAGAGATTTACATGAAAATAGGTAAGAAATCTACAAGGAGTCCAACTTCACATCTATGAGATCCATACAATAAATCAGTTTGGAAGACTTGTTTCAATTAAAACAAGACTCCCGCATACTTCCTGATTGATTAAAGAAAATAAAATAAAGGGTGTTAGGATCCTATTTCACATTAGTAGAGCTGGGACACCAGTAAGTTTGCATATAAAAAATGTCAAATGACCAGCACCTAGTTGGAAATAATTTTGTTAACTGCATTCTTCATCAACAAGGCACTGGTGACCATCTTAATATTCATATTAAAATGGTTGCAAAAAGTATGAAATTGAACAATGAGCTCAAGAACTGTTGCTCCTTACCGCAAATCTTAGGAGGAGGCATGATTTTCCCACACCTGAATCACCGATAAGCAAAAGCTTGAATAAATAATCACTGCAAAGAAACATAAGGTGAGTCTCAGACTGAAATATCACCAAAAACCAGAAAAGCTACAGTCCTCATGCAGATGATCTATGTTAGTTAAACCAGATACAGTTTATTTGCCTTGGAAATTCACAAATTAATTAATAAGACACATACATCATCATTGCAACACCACAAAGTTGTATTATCTTAAGAGCAAATGACCAAACAACTGATAGTATATGCAGCGAGTATGCAGTGAAACTGCTTGCTTCACTTCTTTTACTACCTTCTTTCTGCCTATGTTCTCTTTAATTTATAGTGATACTGTGCCTAAAATTAGTTGATATTCCTATTAGAAAAACTTAATTTTGAGAAAATTGGAAAAGAAAACTGCAGAAACCAATTATATATCTATCAGTCTTGGACCAAAAACAACTGTAGAAGACCCAAATAGTATGCAACAAAACTGCCTGCTTCACTTCTTTTACTACTTCCTTTGTGCCCATGATCTCTTTAGTCTATGGAGATACTGTGCCTAAAATTAGTTGAGTTGATTTTCCTGTTAGAGAAACTTAGGTTTGAGAAAAGTGAAAAAGAAAACAACTGTGGAAACCAATTATATATTTATCAGTCTTGGACCAAAACAATTGTACAAGACCTATGCCCATGCTCCCTTTAATTTATGCCAATACTGTGCCTAAAATTAGTTTATTTTCCTATTAAAGAAACTTTATTTTTGAGAAAAGTGGAAAAGAAAACAACCGGAGAAACCAATTAGATATCTGTCAATCTTGGACCAAAGAAAATTGTGCAAGACCTAAATAGGATGCAATGAAACTGCTTGCTTCACTTCTTTTACTACTTCCTTTGTGTCCCTGCTCTCTTTAATTTATGCTGATATTGTGCCTAAAATCAGTTGATTTTCCTATTAGAGGAACTTAATTTTGAGGAAAGTGGAAAAGAAAACAATTGAAGAAACCAATTAGATATCTGTCAATCTTGGACCAAAGCAATTGGACAAGACCTATATTTGTGAGCAAAAGCAAAATCCAACTCATAAATCTGATGCTAAACAGAGAATGTAATGGTACCAACTGAAGCCTTGAACAACACCACAAGCAGAGACTCGAGCTGAAAAAAGCCAGGCTGAAACCTAGAGGTTTCAGACACCACCTAGCAATGTTAAGCTCTAAGAAATGTGATCGAATAGATTCCACATCATACAATTACAAGACCATAAATGTTGCCACTGTTATCAGACATTCACATACAAGTAAATGTATGCAGATTCTCAGATTCCACTGAAGAAGTTTGTGAGAAATTTCAAGAACCAATCCTTGAATTGTTTAGAAGGGTCCATGGAGTGTCTATGTACATATGGCTCATGACCATCCATCTTCAAAATATCGTGTCCTGGAACCATTTTACTCACCAACCCCAGGGATGGAGTCAGCACAGCCAACAAGTACAATTCTATATTTGCCATAGTATACCATTGTTTAACAATCAAATTACTTATATGACTATCCACCTTTAACATATCATGCTTAAGCAACAATTTTAATTACAAAGGGGATGCAGTCAACATTAGTAACCAGCACATGTTCCATGTTTAACATCATGTGACTTTTATGACCATCAACATATCAAGTTTAAAAGACAATTTCATTTACCAACCAAGGGGATGGAGTCAGCAGAGCCAACCGATAACGATTATAAATTTAACATAGTGCGTCTCTAATCAACATAATGTAACAGTCAAATTAATTAATACTTCTTATTTAGTTTATGGCCATCAACTTCAACATATTATGTTTAAATGAGCATTCTATTTACCAATCAAAAGGGATCGAGTTAGCACAAGCAACTAGTAACAAAAATATATTTAAAAAAGTGTGTCTATGTTGAACATCTTGTAACTGTCATACTATATAATTCCACCAACCAAGGGAATGAAGTTAGCACATCTAACTCATTCCCTTCGATGCACCAAGAGATGTATTCTATTGGTAACATGGATTTTGATGTTCCAATGTACATGAAAGTGTTTCTATGATCCAAGTGATCAAAATGACCCAATAACACTCAAATTCCAGACCCATTTTGCAATCATTTCATTAGTGAAAATGAATGAACCAAAATCTAAACCAAGCAATGAAATCAAGCATGAATCTTTAGACTAGGATCTAGACCCGTCACAAAGACCAGATCTCTAACCACTCCGACAGATCGACCAATACCACAGATCCGTGAATATAAGCCATAATCACGCAATCCTTCCAAGAAAAACGATAAATCCCAGTTCTAACCGAAACCTCGAAACCAGACCAGGAAGATCAACTCACTACTCCTATATCCACGAACGATTTAGAGAACAAGGTTGCAAACCGAACCAAAACAATTCAAATTTCAGCATCCCCGTAAAGATCAGCACCAAGATGGGGGGCAACACTTACTACTCCGGATTCATGGCGGAGGCCGAAGGAGGGGAGGTGCTACGCCGGCGGCTGCGTTCTTCCCCAGCGGGGTTCTTGAAGCGGTTTCTGAGACGAAGGCGATGGATCCCCTGCTCCTCCTCCACCAGGGTTTCCAAAACCCCGAGCAACCGAACAAAAAGATCGAATCGCGAGCGAGAGAGAACGGACGAGAGCGAATTCCGAGAGAAAAGGAAGGGGAAGACGGCAATGCATAGAGTTGACGTGAGGACGGCGCAAGAAGCGGACACGGCATTGTAATGAACGGCTGTGATCATCCCGAAGCCCATCGCACAAGTGGCTCCCACGTCATATCGAAAACGATTTTATTTTCAGTGAACATAAAACTAATGACATATGGTTCTGCAAAAATAAATCATTTTCATATTTATTCCTTCGATATATATATATATATATATATATATATATATATATATATATATATATATATATTGAAATTGAATGATATGATATGGTCGGGTCAGCTTTCAATATTAGAAATAACAAAAATCTTTTGCAGCGTGGAAATTCAATATCGCCTTGATCCCGTCACTCGCCCCTCCCAAAATCCATCTCAATCTTAAACCCACAACTCACCACGTGTCCATTACAAAACCCCAAACACGAGCTCTTCCCGTCACCCTCACCGCCCGCTGACCTCACCCCCAACCCTTGCCTCTGTTCCCCTTCTGTGACTGCCAACCAATAAAGAATCCTTTAAGCCGTTCATCCCACTCTTGTTTTGATCTCGACCGTAAACTTGGTTTTGGTCAATCATTGTTTTAATAATCATGTAATTTATTCGGACGGTCAAGATCACAAACTGGGTGAGATGCACGGTCGTTGATGGTTCCTCGAAGACTTCCCTATGCAAGTTACCCTGCATAGATTTTGTCTACCAACCGTGCGCCCCTTGTCTGAAGTCCCACCAGGTCTCTGTTTCTACCGCTTCCCCTAATTTCTCGATAAGGCGCCTCGCCTTCCCCTATAATCGCAAGCCCCTCGACCCTTCGCCCCGACCTCGTGCTTTCGCCCATGAGCTGGCTGGGAAAGTTAGGGTTCGGCCTTGGCGGCCGAGCTGCGACGGAGGCGTCGTCAGCGGTCGCGCAGGGCCCTGACGAAGACGCGCCGGCGGCCGGGCAGGAGTTTGCCCAGTTCGGCGCCGGCTGCTTCTGGGGCGTCGAGCTTGCCTTCCAGCGGGTGCCGGGTGTGACCAAGACGGAGGTTGGCTACAGCCAGGGGAGCCTCCACGAGCCCACCTACGAGGATGTGTGCACCGGCGCCACCAACCACGCCGAGGTGGTACGGGTGCAGTACGACCCCCTGGCGTGCAGCTACGATGACCTGCTCCAAGTGTTCTGGGCGCGGCATGACCCCACCACTATCAACCGCCAGGTGACATCTCTGAGCCTCAACAGAGGTTTGATTCTGTGTTTTGATTAATACTTCTTTCTTCTAGTGTTGGTTTTACAATCCTAATTCTTGTGGTCGGATTGAGTTTGTTGTCCATATGCTGTGATAAATGTTTGATTTTATTGGTCCCTGGGATCTCAGTGAACCTGTCATGTTTCTTGTTTGGATTGCTCTTGCTATTGAACACTTTTTAATCCCGATAATCTTTGACATGAATGCCTAATTTGAGGTCTTCTTGGTAACCAGCATTCCAATGTTAGATTTTGGATGCAATATAATAATAGCTTAGTTTCGAGATGGAAGCTGCATATGCCCACATGTCTTTATGTTAAAATATGCTTGGCAGGTCTGAAAACTGAATTTGACGACATAGGCATGATCAAAGAAATCAGGGGACAAGGATGAGTATCTGGATAATGTAAAGAGATGATGCTTTATGGTATAGCTACACTTTACAATGAGGTTTAGAAAGTTTGACATGTATCTATGGTTTATCTTATAGAAGAGCTAGTGAAGATTGTGCCTTTTTTTTTAGATATATGATGACCGTGGATGCTCACTGTTTTCTTGGTGCATATCATTGGCGAGGAACACCTAATGAGTAAAGTCATTACCCTTGTTAACAATTTTGAATGTGAATGCAAGCTGGGAAAGTTTCATCGGCATTGTTGATGATCTATAGAATGGTTAATTTGAATTTTGACCGAGTTATGTCATCAAAGGTAGCTTTCAATTTTTAGACTTCTGTCTAGACACATGGGCAATGGTGCTGCACGATCTAATTTGCATTGTAGATGAGCTTTCGCTGAATTATGCACTTTCTCTCAAGCAAAGTCATTGTCCTGTGCTTCATATTGACAAATATTCTCATGCTTTGTAAAGAAAACTAAGTCTGAAGGATCAAGGAGCTGTACACTATTGACCTTGTTGACAATGTTTAAGTTAAAAGCAAGTTGCACAATTGAAAATTTAAAGCCTAAATTGTGTAGGACTGGACTATCTGTGTTGTGGGATTTTATCCTCTCAGAGGAAAATTAACACTCTGATGTACAAGGCCAACTTGGTCTATTAGCTGAGGAGAAGTGAGCAAGAGACACTGGAACTTTTGGGAACAGGCAAGTCACATTAGTTTGATTACATTGAGCTAACATCCTTCATCTCTGCTAAGTTAGGAATCAAACTGCTAATGGCTATGATAGTATGTTCAGAGGCCCCTTCGTAGAATGATAGCGATATATGTCAATGGTGTTTGATACTCTTTAGGTCCATTGAATCATCTTAATCCTTTCATCTCTGCTAGGTAAGGGGTCAAACTCATAAATGAGGTCCATTGACTCATCTTTAATCTTATCATCTCTGCTTGGTAAGTGGCCAAATTGGTGAAAGAGGTCTATTGAATTATCTTAATGCTTTCATCTATGCCAGGTAAGGAGTCAAACTGTTAAAGGCTATCATAGCTATCTAAGAAGGCCCCCCTTTTATTGTCAGTATAGCATAGTTGCAACATTCTTAATAACATAGTTTGACTCTGTAATAGGTCCCATGCTTTACCAATATATGATTTATTTGTTGATGCTCTGTGCAGGGCCTGACAAAATATTTGCCAATGGTATCCGTTTTTCAACCTTTTCTTCAATTTTTTCAATTTAACACTGACCAATGATTCTTAGTACTCTCAGAATACACAAGGCCTCAGACATACAAGGCTAAATTGTTCTTCTCAACAATGCAGCTACTTGATGTCTAACATTCTGATTAATAATTGCACTGACTATGAAATTTCTTGTTGAATTTCATAAAAGGCAGTTGAGGTAAGAAGCTAATCACAACTATGATTGCCTTTCGTCATTGGTAGTTGGAAAGTCCACGTCTTGTTATGTGAAGTGAGCTTGAAACTAGCCCACTATGTTCATTAGTAATAGGATTGTGAATCAGTTGACTGAACTTGGGTGCATATAGAACCCAACCCTCTTGTGTCCCCCACCAGTGATTTCACGCTCATATTTATGAAGCAAGAACCTCTGGGAGAAAGTTCTATTAGTACACATGGCCATATAGGTCTTAGAGTTTCAAGGTCATTCCCTCATAATTAAATGTGTTGCATGTTTTAGTAAGTTGAGGAATCTGATTGTAGTTCAATTTCATGATAGATTTAGGAAATAGGTGGTGCATTTCACTATTTTATGTGTGCTTAGGTTAGATGGAAATAGTTTTTTGTTCTTAGAAGATAATTATGGAATAAGCCATGAAATAGGTTTGCTAGTAATGAGACTGATCCAGAAGTTTTTTAAAAACCAAAGTGTTCTTTTTTTTTCATGATAGATTTAGGAAATAGGTGGTGCATTTCACTATTTTATGTGTGCTTAGGTTAGATGGAAATAGTTTTTTGTTCTTAGAAGATAATTATGGAATAAACCATGAAATAGGTTTGCTAGTAATGAGACTGAGACCCCTGTGGTAATTGGCAGCTACACATATTGCATGATAGGTGACTCCAGCAAGACTTATCCTTGCCTCATTAGCTACTCAGTGATCTTATGGATCCATCCCATCCATCATGTATGGTAACATTCTCTGCCTTCTTGGATCATATTGGACAAGTCCAAGATAGATCAAGTATGCACCATTGCTAACAATGGTCTTATTGGTCTTAGGATGTTAAAGAACCATATGTACTCTTAGCTTGGATCGGACGTGGCATACTTGCTGATTCATGCTACATGGCAAATAACATGTTGGGGAGTATGAGCACTAGAATCTCACCTGGAGTATCAACTCAGAAATCCACTTCTTTAGTGATAGACTTGAATTAGATATCTCACTTGTTTTGGCAATGCATCGGCACAGCATGTGTTGTGGTAACCGCCCGAATCTAGTTTATAAACGCTACCGATCAGGATAAATTGGAACTCCATATGATTCCACATTGTGTTCTTAACATTCCTGTTGAGGCTATGCATTGAAGTATATGCAGTCAACAGCAAGCAGATGGATTTGGTCTTGACGTATTTTGCTTTATGCTTATAAGGAGATATTAGCAATGACATCACATGAAGCAACGAGTTGGCATTATCTTTCTTTGTACTTGTGATGCATAGTTTCTTGTCAGAATCAGTTGTGTGCTCTTAAAACCTGACCAAGCACACACTGCAGTGATGTATCACGTGTTTCAGATAGAGCTTTAAGAGATAGTGTATTAATGTGAAAAGTTTGTTCCACAATGCCTTGGACATATAGCAAATTCAAGAACTAATGATATTATGGGCCATAAACCAATGCCTGTCCTAGGCTTCATTTGCAGAGTTACAAATCCAAGAACTTATGACTAATATGACCTGTTGTTGTATTAGAGATACATTAAGAAGTTTATTAGTTTAGATTCATGTACTGTAAAAAAATGCATCAAATCTTCAGTCATCAGTAGCTTTGGTATCATTGGCATTCAAATTGTTCAAAAAGCTGCTGATTACAATTGCATGCAGGCAAACGATGTTGGGACCCAATATCGCTCTGGAATATACTACTACACACAAGAACAGGAAAAAGCAGCCAGAGAAACTATGGAGAAGCACCAGGAGGTGTTGGACAGGAAGATTGTGACAGAAATTCTTCCTGCAAAGAAATTCTACAGGGCCGAGGAGTATCATCAACAGTATCTGGAGAAAGGTGGGCGCTTTGGTTCCAAACAGTCTGCTGCTAAAGGTTGTAGTGATCCTATTCGCTGCTATGGATGAAACGAGTAATGATAACCAAATCATCAAGATTTGCAGCCACTGGTTGTTTCATGTAAATATACTCTAGTGTGGGAGCTATGAGACTGTCCTTAGCTGTAATCTATTGGACTATTGAATAAACATTTTGTGAAAAGACTAAGGTGGATTGAGATCCAGTCACCTAGTTGATGAATTGATTTATGATCGGTCAAGGTTGCTTCAGATGCATACCTGGAATCTTGTGGAAATGATTTGTTAGAATTAAACCGACAAAAAAAACAAACAGGAGGGGCTCTTCTGACTGTTGTTCAAGCTTTGTGGATAATTCTTTGTTGATTTCTCTCCAAGACAGTTTGAGATCATTTAGTGTTGGCTTCTCCCTTCATTCGATTGTGTAATTTACGAGGGAAGACCAACAACTCGTTATCACCTGACGTGTATGCCAAATTTGATTCCGGGCTATCATTGTTTAGCAAAACCAAGGTTGCAATTTTTGGAACCAAATCTTTGTTTGCCCATGGTAGAACCTATAGGTTCGATCTGTGTGGCATAACATTCCCATCGTGGTACTGTGGTAGTGTTCTATTCTGGGGAGAGAGAAGGAAGAGGAAGAAGAATACTGTGCTCCACCAACTAATATAATAGTTGAATTCTTGTTCCAATCACGATGCTTCTTACAAGATATATTGGAGGTAAGTTCAAATTAATAATTTACCTAAAATTGAGGATAAAAAGCAAAGGAGGTTCGAAAAGGTGTTCAAAAAGATAAAATTGATATTATACTTAGTGTTGACCTTATTTTTCTATGTTTATCTTATGTTAATTCTTCGCCTTTTGGTTTATGCGGCAGTATAGTATACTCTTGTCCTCGGCGCGTACGTCTCCACCGACGGTATCAAGAAGAACGGCGATCCAAAACGGAGGGGACATCGGTTTACGAATAATTAGATCTTCGGGCAGATGACGACGACCGCGCCCCCTTCCTCTTCCTCCTCGGGATTCTCCAAGTATCTTCGAGATTTCGGTGAGCCTCACTCTCTTCTCCTCGAATCCTTCGGTCATTTAGGGTTTAATCCTTCTTTGACGGTGAGATCAAACCGTTCGCAGGCTGGGACCTGCTTATTGGATCGATTGCCGCCTTTTACGTGATCATGGTGCCCTATACAAAGGTTGAAGAGAGCTTCAATGTCCAGGTACACCCCTTTTGACCGTTGCTTGTTTCTTCCCCTTCTTGGTGAAGTCGGTGTATTGATGGGAGGATAACCGGTGACCTTTACGGGGAAAGATCACCAGTGACCTTTATGGGCAGTTGACAGTGTCTCAAACCTTGCTTGTATACATGCAGCCATTGGGATGCTGGCAGCCAATTGTATTTTCAAGGTGTAGATCAGGTGGTTCTTGGCACACATATCCACAAAATTAATTCAAAAACAGATTACTTATGCACAAGTTATATACATATGAGTATAAACATGCTCCAAGAGACTCGCTTTTGTCTTCACTTTGTGGTAGCATTTATTTTTTATACACTGAAAGTTCATGGAAAAGTATTCATGTTTTGGCTTTATTGTTGTGTCCAATTCTTTGGTTAGCCCCAGAGAAAAAAATGTGTATATTGTAAAATATATTTTATTTTCTTTTTTTTTTCTATTCCAGATTAGAATTTCCTCTTTTCCTTTTTTGTTTATATATATGTATATATATTTTTTCAATAGGTCAAATTACTTAGATTTTATCTCTGATGCTAAACTGATGTTTGTTATTTTACTTTTGTTGGTTGCTTGAGCTAACTGGTGGTCTTTGGTCTTTGTATATCTAGGCAATGCATGATATACTTTATCACAGGCATCACATCGATAAGGCAAGATTAACCATTTTTATATCTGTTCTTCTTAACATTCTCAATGTGTTTTTCTTTCAAGGTATGTAAGAACTTCTATCACCGGCTTGAAACATCATTTATTGCTTTTGCAGTATGACCACTTGGACTTTCCTGGTGTTGTTCCTCGCACTTTTATGGGTAAAACTTTGTATGCTTCCTGGTTGCTGGCTTGCATTATGTAGGCTTAATATAGCTTGAGAATGTTCAACTGCAATTTTTAGAACCTTTTGTGATTTCTTGTTATGCTTTGAAGTTTTAACGAACTTGGCCTTCTCATATTTTGTTATGTTGATAATACTTGCTTTTCCTAATGTACTGGTTGTGATGATATTGCTGATGAGAAGAATTTTGTTTGATTGTGTCCCTTTTTCTTGGTGGGAGAAATAATTTGCAGCCATGTTATTTTCTTGGAGTATTAGCAATCTTGGTGAGGTTTCGTGCTAGATTAGATGAATTGCTAGATCGGTCATCGTTGAATATCAATATTAGGTGTTAGGATTCCTTAATTTTAGGAGTCCTTAATTTAATCTTTATTTTCCTATTTAGTTTTTCCTAGTTGTAGTAGGAGTTTTTGAGTTTTTTCTAATTATGTTAGGAGTCCTTTGATATAGCAAATTAGGAATTGCTATTTTTATTTTTGTTAGAAATCCTAGTCCTAGTTGGCCAAGGATTAATAACTCTATATATATGTAATGGCTTTGGTTATTTTTCTTAAGCAATCAAATACAACTCAAAGGTTCTAGTCAACTTGGAGGTTGATCTCCTTGAAGCGATCAAAAGGAGGTTAATTCGCTCAAAGCGATCAAATCCCTATCTATTTTCTTAGATAAAACCCTAGAGTTTTATCATTAGTTGTCATCCTCATTAGATTTCATTAGGTTACAATCGCTAGCCAAATTCATTTGTGTCCTTGGACCTCAGTCAATTAAAATCGGGTACTCCATCAAACAATTATTCATTAGAATGTAGGTTTTATATATAGAAACAAATTTAGGTTCTAAATACATGAATTATTTCCTAAAATTGAACCAATTTAATCTAGTTTCTTTGAATTTACAAACATTGTGTCAAAATAAATTTAGGATAATCATATTATTTCTGTGTTCTGACAACTATCTATATAATGTATATCATATCATGCACTTTTTATTCAGTAAACTTATAGCTCTCCCACAAATGTATACTATTACCATGTGAAAATGACGTTTCATATTGGATTTTTAAATATGTTCAAAAGTTTAACAAAAAAGTCCCATTATTGGTTGTGTTGATTTTGCTTAACATATCATATATGCGCGTGTAGTTGTTATTCTTATATTTAATTATTTAAGATAGGTTTTTCATTGGAAACAGTTTTGGTGCACAATGCATTTATTAAGTTTTTAAGACCTAAGACCAACGATGCTAGTAAGTCCTAAGCAAAGTTTTTATGGATTGAGGATTCTAAAGGGGAATTATCAGAAGCTAAGCGAAATAACTGTGAAAAATGATTATAAAGTGGATAAGAATGAAGTTATTTAGTAAAAAAACTTGTCAAATCTGTCTTATATTGTTAGGCCCACAGTTGTAACAGTTCGAAACTGGACAAGGTTTTACTTCGCTGCTGAAATTAGATAGGCTATAGCTGGGATACTTGACCATGCATGCTTCACAATGAGGTTCTTGATGCCTTGCCATGTATTTCATGATGGGAATGTGTATTTGATGAATTGCTTCCATTAGTAATGTATTTTTCATCATTGATAATGTCAAGAATTTGTCTCTTTCATCTAGGTGCACTAATCTTCTCAGTTTTGGCATCACCACTTGTGCTTTTGATGCATGCTATCCACCTTCCAAAAATATACAGTCTATTGGCAGGTATTTGGTGCCTTTTTTTCTTTATGAATTATGTAGCTTTTTCAAACATGTTTTTAAAATATCAAATTTTTTCTGCAATCTGTATTAAGTTATTAACAATTAGGATAGTGCTGCTACTCGCACCCTGTCATAATAAAAACTCTAGTATCAATAAATTTAGAATTTTAGAGTCCTCTTCTTGGTAATTACTTGCCTATAATGTTGATACTTTCCGCTTCACATTTCATTAAAGAAAACCAGTCATGGCTACAAGCTATAGTTGAAAGGATTCAATAAGATAAGATTATGCCACTGCAAAGTTTGCCATATTTGGTGGTTTAGAAAATTTTCCATCAGTCATTTTATTATTATTTTTCCACTGGCTAACAAAGTTTTTTTTTTGTTGGCATGAAGCATCTTCCATTTTCATATTTGAACATGTGATCAATTTTTTTTGCCATCTGTAGTTCGCATGATGGAAGGCTGCATTGTGTTGTTGGCGCTGCGGTTCTTTCGGATCCAGGTATATTGAATCTTTGATCCTGTAGAGTTAAATTTTTACATAATGCATTTTTTTTTCTTTTATACACCTTATTTTCTTTGGATTGTTAATGTTGTTTTGTTGTTATTTTCTTGAAGTCTTTTTATCCCTTTTTGTGCTTCAACAATTTAAATAGGGTGTGGAGGAGGTAAGTGTAGCCACTTATTGAATTTCAGAGGAGGTAATGACCATATAGAGGCTTTTTGATTCTTGTCTTCTATGCTGTCTCATTTTGTTCTCTTATGTGTCATCCAATTAAGAGTCATGGCATGTCATATGCTATTTTTAAGTGTTCTCTGGAAATTTGGGTTTTGCTTGAATTGTTTAAACCATCAGTATATTATTGGATTTAGGTACCTAGAAGTGGTCATATGATTATAAATTTAGGATGATGACTTATACTTGATTGCAATTACAGCCGGGAAGACTAACTGAAATAGATCATTACTTGCTAGTAAAAACAATATGAATGATTTTGATATTGTTGGACTTTACTCTTCAAGATTCAGTGATAGACTATGTTAAGTCCCTTGGTAGTAAGTGGCTTTATCGCTTATCATTGAATGTGTGTGTTTATGGATGATAAGTGTATAGAGGATTATAGTTTTAGATCTGTGTTCATTCACAATCTTCCATCTCCAGATTCATAGAACAGAACACTTATATCATGCACATAGGTTTGTTTTAGGATTAAGAACTATGCTTTATTTGGGGAGGAATTTGGAATCCATGACAAATTAATTCCTAGATTTATGAGACCATTTGAAATCTTAGAAAAGTTTGAATATTTGACCTACAAACTTGGCTTACCACCAACCTTGGATGGAGTACAAAATGTACTTTTATGTCTCAATCAAAAAAATATGTTCATGATTTTGATCACGCGACACCCATACAATCTTAATAATGACTTGTTTGTGAAAAATAGTCTATTTATTTTGTGGTTATAGAGCAAATTTCAAGACATCGTATGAGTCCCAACAAATTGTCATTTGGGTCTTTCAGACAACCCTAGGATCAACCCAACAGGTGCTAAGACTAGCTGACTAGTTGAGAATGACTCTCTATAGCCTTGATCTCGCAAGATCTCAGCTGTTAGTCATGCTATGATCTTGAGGTCTTGTGTCATCAACGAGATTTTGATGCCTGTCTACTTCGCACTCGAGGAAACAGTTGCTCGAGCTTATAGAACAGATCCTATTCAAGTAATGAAAGAGAAATACCCTCATTTATTTTCTCACCCAAGTTTGTCATCAAGTTATAGGATTAAACTATTTTAGAGGCATTATCATTTAATAATTGGAGCAAGGTTTTTAATCTCGTACTGTACCGGTGTACCGAGCTTTGCTCAGTACGGTACAGTATGGGGTACTGAGCGGTACGCATACAAAAATATAAAAATCAATTTTAGCCTCGTTGTTGTCGTCTCGTCCTTCTTCTCCTTGTCGCCCCGGTTGTGGCCTTCGATGCCAAGGAGGTGGGGAGAAGAAAGATGACATCGGAAGATTCTCCGTGCGGTGGTGGTGGATGAAGGAGACTGTTTGAAGATGAAGAAGGCTGAGGTCTTTGCCGCATTCCTTGCGGTCGCCTCTTTCGTTGCTCTCGTCGTCGCCTCCCCCGATCCCCTCGCCTCGAGCTCCTCAAAAGAGGTACGACTCTCCTCGCTGTTACCTCCTGGATCGTGATCGTCGAGGGAGGGCGACACCAGATCGAGATCGAGAAAGGGCGTGGAAGACAAGTTCGCGTCGAGGTTCGACGGGCTCAGGTTCATTGAGACGCTGTGACGGCGCATCGGTGACTCCGCGGTCCTCTTTCTCGATGCTTCTCCCTCTTCTTCGAATGCCCTCTTCTTCCTCGCCTCATCTTGCTGCAGCCAAATACCTGATACTGCCTGGTAGCGGGCGGTCCACGTGTCGGTCAACAGCTGGATCGGTACGTACCGCCCATACTGGGCGGTACGGAACGGTATTAAAAACCTTGAATTGGAGTACCAAGGTCTCCACTACAAGCATAATCTATGTTAAAATAAGGCATGGAAGAGAATGTTTAGGCATATCTTTTGGTTGGATCTTATCATTGGCACCTACTGAGTTAACGATGGATATTGAGTTAGAATAGGAATAGGAAAGAATTATTCATGTGGACCATGTTTAGATAGGGATTCTCTTCAAATTGCAAGTTGTTTTAGGATTCCTAATATTGGTAGAATTTGGAAATGCAGGGACCATGAAACCTTTTGAATCCAACTCGGGTTAAGATGTAGTGGGAGCTAATGGTGCTTTATATATTGGGTGGTATGCGTTATATATTTTGGGAATAATGGTGCTTTATATGTGATGATGAAGTATCATGTCTCATCAAGTGAAGACAAGAAGTGTTCAGAGTTTTGCTTTGCAAATGAATTAGTGCATGTGTGTCATGTATATGTTGTGAGGCATGTCAAGGTTGTAAGCTGCACTACTGTCAAGAGTATTCTTGGAGAGAGCCACACCATCAGAGAAGAGGAAATAGAACTTAAGAGAAAACTTGACATCAGTAACAACTGCAAAGAAGTAAATTGCTTAGAGGATAACATTCAGGGGAAAAGTGAGTTTTGGACTCGATATGTTTTTTGTTATTTGCGATTACAGGAAGCAATTGGCTGCATCTACTTTGTTTTTGGAAAAAAAAAGTGATTTGTTGAAGTTATGTTTCAGGCTTTAATGGTATATGTACATGTTTTCTTGGAATTGCATGGATTATATATTTTATTCAAAGTGTTTCTTTGTTTTATAAAATGTTTTGATAAATTAAATGGGGGAAGTGTGAACACATTATGTGCCTTGAGATATATTATTTTTTCTCAAGATTACTGAGACAAATTTAGCATTAATATTGGACTTTTTGTAATTGAATTTATATTTAATGCTAATATTGATTTTGTAAAATAATTCACTGGTGACTGTGACTTTTTGAATGTTAGCAGGTCAGGAGAAAATTTGGATATCATGTTGAAGCATTCTTTGCCATATTAACAGCTGTACAGTTTCACTTATTGTTCTACTCGACCCGCCCTCTTCCAAACATACTAGCTTTTGGCTTAGGTGCTCACCTTTTGCTTTGCATCTTGACATTCTATTTCAAAATTGTAGAAATATAGTGTTGTTATGTGAAATAGGTATTGCATTACTCCTGATTTTACTAAAATTACAATTGAACAAGGAAAAACTTTTATACTCAAAGCTTTTTTGAGGTTGCTTTTGTGACAACATGGCATTATGAGTTGAAAATCTTATGATATACTTATATCGAAGGAGGTGTGAGCGAAACATTTAGAAGTCTTAAAAATTTATTAAACATGTATAATTTTGCTGCATTAATGATATCAGGAACCCTATGGGAACAAAGACATATTTATTGGATTGTCAAAACTCAAAATAGATTTACTGTAAGCCACGAGATGCATTTCAATTAAGAAAAGGCGCCAAGTTCTTTGGATAAATACAAATGAAAGGTTGTAGAGAAATAATGTTGGGTATTCACTCTTGCTGAGCTGTATGGTGATCTTGTGGGTATTGGGAGGTGAAGAAGATTAGTGGCCACAACAGTTAAAACACTAGTATCTTCTGCTGCATGAGTGATGAATGACAGCAAGACAGACTTCCCTCACCATTCCTGGATCTATTTGATTATGTCAATCATACTTTTGATGTTCAATAGAAGTCACTAGGTGTTTATGAAAGCATAACTGACTCATTTTTTTGGTGCAGTTAACTTGGCATATTCTTTCTGGTTCAAAGGAAATCCATATGCAACTCTCAGATGTCTGGTATCATTCCTTTTCCCATTCCTTCAGACATTTTTGTTTTTTAGTTGCTTCAAGTCTTTCTTTTTTAAAGCTTATGTGATAGCTGCGAAGGTGGCTATCATTGGATTTACTTTCCTCGATACAAAAGACAAAGCATAGGAAGTGTAAGAATATCAATAGGTGTATGAAATCAGTTTGAACATATGTTGTGATCATCTGTAAAATTATTGTTTAGTGGTAGATGCTTGCAATACCTGGAAATTATTTCATGAGTTAATTAGTTTGGCCACTAGTAGCTAATTATTTGGCTTTGATGAGTCCATATTTATCCATTTATATGCTAATTGTGGTAGTTCCACCAAATTGCTTTTAGTTGGCATTTAGTTAGGTTCCACAATTTTACACAAGAAAATTATGCTACATGACAAGGAATGGTTATATTTACAAATGGTTGGGGTTAGTTGTTAATTATCATAATGGAGGTTTTTTGGGTCATATTATGAGTATTAGGATTATTGTGAGTAGGCCTCCCATAACCCTTATTTTCATATCTATAAGAGGAATAAAAAATGTTCATTATGGGTGCCTCTTCATTTCCCTTTTTTCTTCAAAGCTCAATTTCCTCTTCCTGGAAATCTTGGATCTTCTTTTTCTCCCTCCCCCATTCTTTACAAATTCCTTTTCTTTGAGCCTCCTAAACAATGTGACTACTCTCCCTAGTCTGTCTTTTGGTGATTTTTTTGTTGGCTCCTATGAGAAGCTCATAGCATTATTATCTGTAGGGACCAAACCAAGTGTCAATAGATGTGGAGCTAGGCTGTAATTTGTTATTGGAACTGGAAGTTCTGGGTAGCAGTCTAACCTTCTCCAATTTGCAGATATAGATTTGAATGGGCCTGTCTTCCAAAGAGGAAAAAATCTGTTCACACGATTGATTTATGCTATTTTTGTGGCAACATTACGGATTATTGTTTGCAAATATCCTTGTAATTTAAATTCTGATCTTAAATTGAATGATATGTCGGCAAAGTGGGGGATATTAATCTAGATTTAATTTCATTTGGTTTTAATCTAATCTTCTTTATTTATGATGTTTCTAGATGATGATCTAAGTTTCTTTTATCTGAATTTTAAGCTTTGGCGGGGGCTAGAATTGCCAAGTTTGGAGCTCAATTCTGGGTCTCATGGAAGCTTAATCTTCATTTAATAACACATGCCAAATCAGCAGGTTGCTTAATTAAGAATGCATATTCATATTTGATCTAGTATGCCTTGATCCTTCTTTTATCATATTTTTGCATATTAAAAACTGTTTTCAACAAGGTGTTATGTACACATGTGGTCAAAACTTCCTTAATGGTGGATCTTTTGGTATGCATGCCATGCTAAGACCATATTTTATCTATGTTAACCTATAACTCAGTTCCTTATGTCTTTTCCTTCTTTCTTTTTCTTTTCAATGAGTGTCTCCATGAATGGTTTCCCAAGGGTGGTTACAGTTCCATTTATTGTTAATCACTAGAGCATGCTTTTGTGAGGCTACTTGCAGAATGAACTTCTTTTAGCGAAGTTGTTTTTCAAAGTGATCAAATCATTGTAGGGTTAGTAATTTTAATGAGAGAAAATGATTGAAAATACCATAAACCTGTGGTTGGTCTATTTTTGTTGATCGAATATGATTGTGCATGCTTTCTGTTGCTACTTCTGAAAGTTCACTTGTTCGCATTT